AAAAAATATATATATATATTTTACACTGGCTGAACTGAGAAAATATTTTTTTGCAAGTCAAAAGTAAAACCAACCTGAGGCGTGGTGTGGATAAATGCCCCTGGATGTGTGGCCCTTGGATGAGTAGCCATCTGGACTACTGAATGGACTGAGGCCAGTGTGAGGGGGTGTAGTTGTATAGCAGCATTACTGCTTGGGGGAGAATCAGACTCCTGGAAAAAGACGTACAAGGTTTAACTAAGTTGCACATACAAGAAAAAAACCTAGATGAACTATGGACAAATAAAGACAAAAAATAAAAAATAAAAAGATTTTCATAGTTGCTGTGATCACATTATTCTGACAATGGTCTTCAATGAATGCATGAAAACACACGGGTAAGAGTTTAACAACATGTGAACTAATGATTCACTGATCATATCTGAATAGACCAAATATCCTTTGACCTTACTATGTCACTTCCGGAGGAGGAGGAGGAGAGCGAGCATGCTGATGATGACGAATGGTGTTGAGGGCTGGGGAGGAAGACTGGAGAAGGTGAGGGGGAGTCAGCACTGAGAGGGGAGGAAGTGTCTCTCTGATCCTCCACAGACACCAGCATCAGCCTGGCAAGGTCTTGCTCACAGGTCTCTACATCTAGGACCAAATAGAATTCAACTGTTGACACCAGCATTGGGCATATTCACCAAATATCTAAGGAGGGACAACATTGTCACTTTTCTGGAGTCTAAATGTTAAAAAAAAAAATAGATGCGAACCCAAGGTTGCCCTAAAGTTACCATGGTTCTCCAGCTTGGCATACTGCTTGGCTCCCCACTTTTTGATTGTCCAGTCCCTGTAGGCCAAAACCTCCGGGCTGACTTTGATGATGCGTCCTAAAGTACTGTAACACAAAGAGGTACAGTCCATAATGCAGTCGGGTCAAACTTAAACTAGCTGCTGAGAAAAACTACTACAAAACTCAAGAGATGATTTAATTAAGAAGCCAACCTGTCATACTCTTTGTTGGGGTAAGCACGTGCAAGAGGAGACACACCGTGACTCAGCACCATGTAAGCAAAGTCAAACACCTGCTTGACTTGCAGGACGCCATATGAACTCCTGCCCACGTCATTCCCTGTGGAGATCACAAAAGTAAAAAATAATAGAGGGATTAAAAACAAGAACAGCTTTCTAAAATGCATTTTATAGTACAATCTGGGTATATAACTAACAGTAAAATGTTTAACAGCACTAAAGAGTCTGATCCTATCCTAGGCCAGGATTTCTAAGTCAAACAAAAATCACAAGGACGTCAGTGAGTAGAAATTAAAATGCAGTCAAGATGAAGTGATTGAAAGACCTAAAAAAAAAAAACAACAACAAAAAAAAAAAAACATAAGGTATAATTCCTTTCACAAACATAACATACATGACACAATGGCACTACGCAGGCTAGGGGAGTAATGGAAAACGGTTACTGTAATCAATTACAGAAAAAAAAACCAACACATTTAATGAGATTACAGTTTTGTAAAAATTGGGATTATTATGTGCACACATTAAAACATTTTGAGAGTCTCACACCACCACTCTGCAACCCTCCCAACCCTGCAACTAGATATGTGGTCCCAAGCTGACCTGGCTGTATTGGATCTTCAATGCAGAGCATGGATGGCCTGTTTCCATTCCCCATGGCTTTGAGCATGTCCTCCTTAGACAGGTAAGCCCCTCCATTCTTCACCCTGATGCCAGTCCTCATGTAGTTGAAATCACGGCCATACAGCTCAAAGAACTCGATCAGCAGGATGCCCAAGTTGATGTTAGTACGCCGCGTGTCGATCCGAGGGTGTAACTTTGGTTAACAGGACAAGGAACACTCATTACCTACACTTTGTAACCAACTCCAGCCAGTAAGTTTCCTGATAGAAAATATTTAACTTGTGTAATATTTGAGTATATCAAGTAACACTAAACATTCATTTTGTGATCTACTTCTATCACACTGAACTCTTTAGCTTCAGCTGATCCACTAGTAGGGTATTAACATTCAGTGTAATTCATTCAGATACTGAGTTTTTACATAAATACTGACTTACAAATGTACAAACTTGCATCATGCAAGACTGTCCACTCATCTTGTGTCAATTTTGAGGCAGCGGTGTAGCATCATGCCAAAATGGAGAGCTTTTCGAGTTGATTTTGCGATTACAAAATGTGCAGTGTTTTAAATAGACAGGGAAGAATTCATTATAGCTGTCACATGCATAGAGTACAAATGTGTACCTGCAGAAAGCTGATGGCCATTAGTATAAGGCTGTAAGAGCTGATTCCTCCAGTGAAGACTTCATTCAGATCCCTCTGCAGTAAGAACTGCTTCAGGACAAAAATCAGGGGTGGCAGCACAGTGTACTTCTACCAGAAAGAAAGAAAGATGGACATTAGAAACAACCCAAAAAGGCCACATTTTTGTTGAAAATGTAAAATATTAAAAGGCTTACCTTAAGATAGCTTTTGATGAACTGTGCTGCTTTAACAGCGGTCTCTACATTGAAGCTGATGTCCACTTTCAGCTCCGTTTCGTGATCAGTGAGCTTGATGATTGGCACCTGAGGACAGGTCAGATAGCAAACATTGCATGACTCAAGATTTATGACTAGCCAACTGACACAACCTCTATTGTTAAAGTTATAGTTTTTCAACTCTGTGGGTCCCCAGAGTAAAAAGACACTCAGCACGTGGTGACTTACTGTAGCTTTGTCGAGGACCTTGATAGGATATGGGCCAGCCACATTGTGTTTCTTCAGGGCTTGTTCCAGTTCCTGTAGTGGGGGATGGTCCCACTTTCCAAACACCACCAGGTCAATGTCACTAAGAACAAAAGCACAAAGTACTTTGTACCTTTAGTTTATTTCTTAAGTATTCTGTCGAGAAGTGCACAGTGATGTGAAAGCACAGCATTAGGGGCCTATTTTGAATTAAACTAATTCAGGTCTTTGGGAAAGTTCACAATGCTGTTTTTCTACTGTGAGAGAGATGTGGTGAGGGTGTGTGTTTGTGTGCGTGAGTGTGAGTTCAGCCTGTCAAATACAACAAAATCAAAAAGAAGAACTTCCTAATTATAACTGTGGGTTAGTGAAGTAACTTGTTTGTCTCTTCAACTGAACCAAAGGTTCTTGACCATCTCTCAGTGTACAATGCCCTCTAAAATATTGTGTAATTACACAAAATACTTGGATGAATTAATTTAGCAAGAAGCAGTCAGCATTAAACAGATGCCTCACTTTCCTACAAAACAAAATCACCATGATTACTGCTAGACTGATAAATTCTTTCCAAATGAAGCTGTCGAACAAATAAACAAGTACAATTATTTCAACAAGTATGTTGAAATGTCAACTTCCCCCTCAACATCCCTCAGCTCTAGAAGCCAGTAATCCTCAACAGTGCCTTGAGAAATATACTGTACAAACAAACACCATGAGAGCACATGTCAAGGTTATTTTCCATTAAATGCAATATGGTTGTAGTTTTGCTACTGAACGGTAAACTGTATGGTATATTACTGAAGCCCTATGACAAAACTGAACATACCCTATCAAAAATAGTGTTGCTGCTTCTTAACAATTTGCATGTTGGTGAGACAGAAGAGGCCCATCTAAAAAGATCAGAGTGTACAAGAAAGATACACAAACAAATATATTACCTCGATGGAAGATACAGTCCTGTGCTGAAGCTGCCAAATATCTCCACCTGCAGAGCATAGGACAAATGAATGATCAACCAACAAGGCTTGATTCAAGTCATCACATCATTGTAACCAGCACCATGTCTTAGCTAGTTTGACCTTTCTGGGCTGTTTCCTGCCTGGTGTGTGTCTGTGCTTTCTTATACCAAGGCAACAGGTCAGGAGGGAACAGAAAGTAGCCTAACAAAGTGTTTTAAGAAGTGTTCATTTATCCTTTCATGCTACAGTTTTTGTGAAACTTTAAGGCTAACCATGCCTGTGACCTGTACAGATTAACTTGATATGCATAATAATAATAATAATAATAATAATAATAATAAAGCTAATTAATTCTGATTAGCCCAATGAAAAAAAAAAAGAAAAAAAAGCAGGTCTTCCTTGCTTGTTAGTAACCATCAAAAAGCTTGAGTAGGCGTTACTGGGCTAATGAAGCCTTACCCAGCTAAATAGTTCTCATAACAATCCAAAACTATAGGTTAACATGGTAAAAAATGAATTACATATATATTTGTATGTCACATTGAATATTATGTAAAATTGACTTTGTCGAGGTCAGTCATAGTTTGGATAGGTGTGTGTCTCTGTAGAGTTTAATTCTGTACATGTTAGTTTAAAGTCAGGTCAAATAGGTGTAGTTAGTTTAAATAGATGTTTAAATATTTGTGAGGAACACGGGCAGTGTTATTTCTGCATTAGATATTATTACTGACTGTGGTCTTTGTCCACTTTAATGTTAAACATCTTTACTTTCTGGTTAGGGACCAAAGTCCACTAGAAAAATGAAACATTCTTACTGCCACAGCTTGAAATAGTAACAAACATACGGTCTTTAAAGTCCACAGTAAGGTCCGCTGGGACTTCTCTGGGCCTGGGTTAGCTCCAATGTTTATAATGTTAACAACAAGATGCTACTCGTTAGAAAGTACACCATCTTACATTCTGCTGGCAACACACAATGGAAAATAATTCACTAATGTTACTTTGGGAATGCAAGTGACATGAATAATTATTACATCTGGCCAACTCTGGACGTGCAGTGTAAACTAGGCTGTTGACTGACTACAGCGTGGCCAAACAGGATACACAAAGTGCAGTAAACTTCCAGACAGCTGAGTATATGAGACAGTAACATTGATTAACACAATGCACGACAGCTTTGCAAAGTAATTCGCAGACCAATAAACAAAAGTCAAAAGAAATAAAATGCCATATTAAAAACCAACGTTACATAAATTACAAAACCTGCAAATCAAAAGAATGTGTGTATGATTAAATAACCAGAGAAGAAGTGATTCAACTCCGTGGTAATATTCTGTCTCCCTCGTGTATTTAATGGAGAGTAAACGCCACATATCAACATAAAGCAGTTCACAACAACACCACCAATTACATCCAACTTTAAAGTGACCAGACCTCTCCGACACCGTATCAACACAGACCTATTTCAAACTCATTAACTTATGACATTATTAGCCTCAAAAGTGTCTGAATCCCCCGGCTCTCTCCATACTGTGCGGTCCAGAGTGGAGTACTTCTCCCACAGACAGACTACCCGGTTTGAGTTACCTCTCCAGGCCTCTGCACAGGCACACACAGATCTCCTACTGACACTCACCCGTGCTGTGGGCCACAAGTCCTTGATGACGCTTTCTATCCTGTTCACGACATCTCGTCTCATGGCCTCCTCCTCTGGTCGCGGTGACATGAAGTTGAAGAAGTCCACAATTTCTTCATGAAGACTGTATGGAGTCAAGGACAACAAGACACCCGGGATCATGGACTGATATAGGAGAAGGGGAAAGGCTATAGCACTGGGGAAAAAACTGTCAAAAATAAATTTGGGAATCAAATACATCTGTGTGCACAGAAACTTAAAGTCCCCCTCCATTAAAATTGTTTTTTCCTATAGTTGGATGTTTGAGCGTCACTGCACAATAATGCCAGTGCACAGTTTGACACCAGGAGGATGTTTTGCCGCTCATCTGCTGAATGTACAAAGTTTCTCTGGGCTCATTGAAAATCTGATCTTTTTTAAAAAAGGGGCAGGGCTTACAAGCATGATCTATGACATCACAAATTGTTTGGAAGTCAACCCTGGTCCCTACACAACTTATAAGAGTGTGACACAAACTTAAAGCCCTCAGTGCACATACCCTCAGAATTTACAGTGAAGTAGGAGACATCTCGTGTCCAGCAGGAACGCTTGAGCGTCGAAGAAAACGTGCATATTCATAGATTCTGGATTTTAATGAGGTAGAAGGAGTAGATCCTTTTTAAACATGACTTTCATGTGGAACTTCTATTTTTTTGTGGGGAAACAAACATCATAAAACACATCATTGTTTCAAGCAGATCATTTGTATAGTGTCTTGATGCATGTCTGGAGGGGATCTTTAAGTTAACTCAAGTGTTTTGCAAAACACATACATCGGCAAAAAGAACAACAACGCATCACTGACATGCACATTAAATTAATGAGCTACATCCACAGTTTGGTTTGAGGGAGCACAACTCATCATTTTAACCGTTTTAAGTGACTTGTTGAGAACAAGATACACATTTACATCACAGTGTGTGGAGAGAGAAAGAGCACAATTGTGAATATTGTACTGAATACTTTCACTATTTCATAAACCGCTGTACATTAGCCACTGCTCATTGAGTTGGAGCACCTGGTGAACCCTTCAATGAATCCCTCCATACATCTCCTTACCCGTTAATGCCCGGGCTGTACCGTCTGGTTTTCCACAGGCTGCAAGAGGAGTCGACATAGTGTCCATTGCAGCCGTAGGTCAGGAGCGGGTTGATGCCGTGGAAAGTGTTCGCTCGGTTCAGATGCCTCCTGCGGCCGGATGAATGTGTCTGATAGTGGTGGTGCTTGTTCCCATGCTGATTTCTCATCCCGGCGGGGGTGTGGCCGAAGGATTGTTGCATGCTGCGACAGTGTTGCTGAACAGTGTGGAAAGGCGGAGGGGGATGTTGCCGTCTGAGATTGTTCTCGTTCAACTCGTGCTCGCCGTAGTGTAAAAACCGGCTGGTCTCTTCTGCGACGTTCAAATTGTCGATTTGCAGAGAAGAGCCGGAGGGCGAGGAGCTCTCGGCCTCCGAGTCCAGGGAGGAGGAGGACGGCGACAACGAGCCCTTCCTCCGGACACTTCCCCTCTCTCCGCCGCCGCCGCCGCCGTCTCGCTTAGGCAGTTTTCCAAACACAACCCCCGGTGGCGGTGCTACATTTTTGCAATACTCGCCGTTTGAGTCCGTGGAGTTGGCATTTAGAGCTGCAAAGTCGCGTTGGTGGTGAAGGTGGTTGTCGATGCCGGAGTTTGCTCCAAATCCCTGAGAGGTTTCCCAAATGTGCATCCACAGGGAATTGGCAGGTCCCTTCTGCTCCGGCTGGATCCAAGCGGTCCTGGGATCCATTGGAGTCGAGTTTTTACGGAGAACCTCTTCACGGGAAAATGGCGTGCAATTTGGCAGATACAACACGATGCAACCCAGGGAGCAAATAAATGCTACCGCGTCGATTTACTTGTTATCCTCGAAGTGCTTCATGTCTGGAAACTGGTTTGGTTTTTCAAGCGGTTTGCCCAACTCCACTCCCCATGTCAGTCAGCCAATATGGCGCACCCAGCAGCACGGATCAGCGTCTACGCATGTCCGAGGGATTTAAATCTTTGAACACACCCCTCAGGACCGAGAGCTGCGTCAAGTTCACCACACACGCCGGAAGGTCACACGAATCAACGCACTACAGACAATACTTAGACAAATATAGCGACACTGTTCGAAACATATCAATATTTTGTCGTATATTTCACACCCTGCACGTCTCAATGTGTCTTAAGGGATGTTAACAAACAATAAACATTGAGACAAGTCCTTTCCATATATCCTAATATAACTACATTAAACATATCCGTTCACTTTATTGATGGTTTGTTAAAAAGAAGTGCATTCTCCTAGTTTGAGGATTTGTTTCAAATTAAAATCTAAAACTCGCATAGAACCGTTTTATTTGGGATTTGGCCTCTTTATGTAATTATACAGTTCACTAATATAAAAGATAAACCTTCGCTTGACATGGATGTGGCGTGGGCTTTTATTTTGAAGGCTAGTCCCGGATATGTATAGCGTTTCTAGGTAGTGTTTCACTACTTCACACAGGTCGGACCGGGCAGGATAAAACCGATAAGACGTGATAGTTGTAGTAATTTAGCTAGATAATTAATCGCCGCCTTTATCACCAATTTAATTAACGTTGTGGCAAATGACTGGGAGCCGCAAGGCATCAAACAGCTGTGTGCTTTTAAAGAAATCTATATTTTGAAATGACTTATTGTTATAGAGCTAAACGACGCGTATCGGGTCAGTATGTGGACCAGAGGGCAATGTCATGGCGGGGTATTTGTTTGCATTGAGGCAAGTGAGGAGAGAAACCGACATCATTTGACTACATTTTTTAATTTGAAAAAATTAAATAACCTCTGAGACTTTAAACTATTTTCATCAATACAAACAGATACCTCATATTTACAAACACTTACAGCAGCACCAGCAGAACACACATGTACATGTATAGCATTACCTGAGGATAGCAACAAAAAAAAGCAGGGAGTTATGCCAGTACATTTATGACAGGGTGTTACAGTTAAAAACCGTGTCTCGAACATAAAAAGGAAACATTAGCAACTAAATTAGACGTGTATTTTAAAGTAGAAGTCCACATAAAAACTAAGCAAAGTTTATAGTGGACTTCCAGACACCCTGAATCTTTAAAATAGGTGCAGAGCGACATGCATATGTCATTGTGGATTTGTACAACATGTGCGTCTCTATCAGCTCTTGACCTGTCTGCAGACAGAGGCTAACTGGTTAATGCAGCTGGTAACAGCGGGAGGGACGCCCTGAGAAGTTTCTCCTCTCCATCCTGCCAGGGCATCCAGGGCTTGTTTGGGATTACAGGGAGACAGTTCGTACATGCAGTAGATGGCTGCTAACTGCACCTCCCATGGCACACCTACGGAGAGAAGACACAAGATTAGAATTCTTAACGCAAATACATCTGCTTTTTCACAGCATTGTATTTATATCATTATATTATATTTATTTATTTGGCACAATAATGACGATAATATACTTTAACATGCCAGGTTGAGACATACTAGAATCTGCTGAAATACACACGTGAAAAAAGATAAACATCAGATTTGTGTTTCAGAAAAAATGATGAATGAATGGCAGGTGTGGGGGAAACTGGCAGCACTCTCAGCACACAATAAAGGCTGTGTACTAGTTACAGCCAAACTCAATCATTTGGTATTCACCGAGGTTTCTCATATTTCATACCTTCAGTATGTCCATGCCTACCAAACGTGTTGATGACGTTGGCGACAGTTACCACAGAGGAAGCACACCTCTCTTTGATTCCCAGTTGACCGAGGCGTCCTATTTAAAACAAAAAGACAATGACATTCTTAACTGTCCTCTAGCGATTATTGAATTACATGTCACTTCAGGTTATGGTTGATACAAGTTAAAAAAAACAGTAAATTAACAAAAGAACTGACCTATGAGTCGGAGCACAGTGGCCACGGTCACATCTGAGACGGGTGCTTGTTGATCTCTGGGCTGTGTCACCCAAGTGTTCATTAATGGCCACAACTCCTTGCTGTCAAAGTGAAATAAACAGATTAGCACAGGATAACTTCTTTAAGTGAGTTTCACATCCTTTTTACCAAATTTATATTTAGTTTGGAAGGCAACTGTGAATTCAATTACATCATTTAACACACTAGGTTCAGAAAAACGAACATACCCCAATACATTTTCATAGGTCCACTTCCACTTCTTGTGTGTACAAAGGAGGTGCAGTGTGAAGACATGTTCCCAAGCCTCAGCCCCCAGGTCGTCCCCGTGCCGGCTGTGTTTAGTGAAAGACAGGTTTAACCCGGACCGAATGTCGGACAGTGTTCTGGTGATCAGCTTGTCAATGTCACAGGGAGGACTCTGCAGAGATACGGGGAGATCAGGTTTGAGAGGGCTCAATCTACTTCATTTGAGAAGATACAAAAGGGAAAGCTGGTTAAGACGAGATGATGTGATAAAGACAATGACCTGAAAATCACAGGTCACAGGTTAGAAATCAAATGGTGTATAATACAAAAATGCCTTTAAAGGTGTCAGCAATTCTAAGTTAATGAACTAAATGGCAATATTTTCATCAGCCACTCAGGATACATGCCAGCCAAGCTAGATTTAAGTAAAATAAGATATGCAACATGACAAATGTAGAATCCCAGCTCTACAAATACTTCACCTTCTCCCAACCAAGGAATGCTGAAAGGCAGCTGAGGAGGTTTTCTTGTGCTTTCAGTTTGGTGACAGCGTGTATTGCCTGGCACAGAGAACTACTGTGAGAGAGAACATTGGGCCATGTTGTCACCATGAACAAAATCAGCTTAGCAGAGTCTGGGAAGTCTGCGGCAGGGAAGAAATGATGAGAAAGAAAAAGTGTTGGTCAAATTTGAGCTTATGTGGTGCCTAAGGTGGCACACAGATGGCAGTATTTACAATGTTCAATTGGTTCTAGTAAAAAGTCTAACGCACACACAGAAACTGAATTTGACTTGCAATAAGAGTACAATGGCTATGAATGAAAATCCATGTGCATCTAGTTAAAATGAAGAGAAAGGTCTTTATTTGCCACAATAAGTTAAAATGCCTATGCAGGTGTATCAAGGGGGTTAAAGAGAGAAATCATGTCACAAATTGCTAACCTTCTGTGAGAATGCTGTAGGCCAGGATGTGAGCCTTCTCCCAGTCTCTCTTCTGTCTACAGACCCCCGTGTAGACTCTGCAGAGGGCCTGCATGTAGTTTCCACTGAGGTCTTTTTTCTCTGCTTTCAGTTTGTTCAGGATGGCCAAAATCATATCATCTGCCTTAAACTGAGGAGAGTGAGGAGGACGTGAGAAAACATGCACATAGGTTCACACATCCTATGAGGTATTGTCAGGCATTTTTCTTTATATCAGGAGGCTACACAAGAACCACTTGCTTGCTTTAAGGATGTACTTACCGATATAAGGGTCTCTTTTTTCTTAACTGTTGCTGCTCTTTTTTAAAATTATAAATCAATTCCAGTCCTGTTCTGATTTGACCCTATTATTTATGTCCCTGCAATTTACTATTATGGGCAAATAAAGTAAATGTTCGACTGAAAAAAAATCTTCATTTTGCATGCCCTGTATGCAACACTAATTGTCCTTTGCCAGTCACATGCTTGTTTAAATGATGAACTGCATTAATTGTGGTTGTTTTAGTGATGGTAACATACGTTTTATACTTTTTTATACTTAGTTTTGTGGCCTGTGCTACAAATCTTTCAACCTGGGTAGCAACCAGTGCACAACAACAAGCCTGCCTGTTAAGATCTCTTTTCTCCTTAACTTCTAGGGATACTGACTGCTGGGGAATAGAAATTGATCCTCGATATCATAATTTAAATAAGAATCATTCAATGGAATTTTGGACAGACACCCAGGAGCTGTGTTTAAGTTAACACCCCAAATATGTAGTAGAGTAATCAGCTGTGTACCAAATAACTTTGTAAAGATCACTTGAAAATGCTCGTTCCTCTGAAGAATATACTGTTGCTTTACATTGTAAAAACAATGCAAAATGACCAGTGGGTCACAATGAAGTCAGCAGATGAATGTCCAATAAACCAGTGTACTCACCAAGCGGCTTTGGAAGATCTCAGAAATAACCTCCTTCTCCTCGTCTCTCAAGACGGGCTTCTGGGGCAGGTTACCAACATACAGGTGGCTCTGAATCACAGGCAACAGATCAAAACACTGGTTTTCTATTTTCTTTAAGTAGGTAACTATTAGATTTTGATCAGCAGGTTCTCCACCATCCAGGGACGGGGAGGCTGCCTCATTTGTGAGGTGTTTGAGCCTCAGAGTCTGGGGTGAGGTGGTCTGCTCTCCACTGTTTGATGGAGATGAAGGCATATGCTTGTGACTGATAGTAGGAGAGACATTATCCAGCCTGAGGCATTTGCGGTTTCTAGGCTGAGGCAGACTGATTGACTGTCTTTTTTCTCCTCTCATCTCTGTCTTGGTGAAGGCCGTTGAAGTGGAATTAATAGTTTTGAAGCCAGACATCTGACTGACTGCCGTTGTGGGTAATGTTCCACTCTCTGATGAGTAAATGCTGAGGCTGACATTCCCCCTGAGGATGCTCAGAGTCCGGGCGTGGGCAGAGAGCTCTGGGTACATGGTGTCCAGAATCCTCATGGAGTTTTCCTGAGATGGACTGGAGGAAGACGACGGGGAAGAATTCATTGCTGACAAGGGGAGGCGACCTGGGACCGGCACAGCGTGCTTCGGAGTGGCACAGCCGAACTGAAGTGGTGATGAGGGGACTCCGTTTGGAGGGAGAGGGCTGTTCAGAGATGACGAACTCAGCCGGTGACCGTTGGGCATCAACTGGGCCTGGACGGGAGTGGTAGGCGAAGCCAATCGATCCATGGGAGAGGGAAATGACAGCCTCTCAATAGCCTGCCTTGGATTGATAGATTTGCCCACCTTTGTAGGCGTGCTCAGAGGGGTTAGGAGACTAGGAAGTGGAGGGCCCATTTCAGAGCGAACTTGGCCTAAGGATTCTGGTGGTTGAGCTGTTGTTAAACCTGCCTCTAGGCTAGGTTCCTCCTCTCTGACCATATGTGGGCTCTCTTTTTCAAGCACGTTTGTACACTTATGTCCATTTGTGGCAACAGCAGTCTTCTTTGATGAGGTAGTAGGACTAGCAGTGCCCAACATACATTTGCTCAATTTATGGTTACTTGCATCTGTGCTTTTATCAGGCAAGTCCTGGACAGGAGCCTTTTCAGTGACACCTTCTTGCCCCAGATTGGGTACAGGCAGTAGAGGTATTTCGTTTGTTGAAATGAGTTCACTGCTATCACTGACATTACATTTTTCTGGATTTGGGTGAGTTTCCGAAGGACTCAACGTCCTGCAGAGAGAATGTGTATTTTCTTTCGATGACTCACAGTTAACAGTCTGTGTCTCTTGGGAGTCAGAGGGGGAAGGCCCACAGTCTGGTAATATTTCACTGCTCAGTGGCTCTATGTCAGAATCCTTTTTTGAAGGAGTTACAACATTTTCTTGACCAGATTCCCGGTCAGCATGGAACTCGTCATCTTCCATCTTCAACAGTGAAGAAGGAGTTCTGTCAGCATCCTTTGACGGAGAGGGCGTTACATCAATTCCTTCAGTTCTTTGTGCTTCATTTACATTTTCCTCCCCAAGACCTTTTATAGATGCATCATTTTCAGGCCTCTCTTCAACATTTTCATTTGAGACACAGCTTATGCTGTTACTGCTGTTTGTCAAACAGGGACTCTCTTCTGGCATGTCTGTGTCCTCGCCAAGGCACCCCTGATTCTCCAGGGGCTCAAAGACTGCGGCATCTTGACTTTTTCTCACTTCTGAACCATTTTCTGTATTTGTAATATCAGTGTTTCTCACAGAGTCAACAAATGTTGAGGAAGTAGCAGAGGAAGGAACTATCTCCATATCTCCTGCTTCCTCAGAGTTTACAGCTGTATCACTTCTTCTGGGTGACTCTCCACCATCAGGAGTAACTGTATTGTCACCAGTATCACAAGGGCTTGTGTCCACGTCGATCTTTGTAACAGTCTCTGAGTGATTTTCCTTCGCCATTCCTGAAGCAATTCCAGTATCACAGATGCTGTTGGGGTTAACGCTGCAGGATGGCTCTTGACTTTCAGCAGTTAATGACACAACCTCAACCAAAATGGTTATGTCTGATGCGGAAGAAAAAGATGATGATAATGAATGTACAGTTGGCTCCTGCTCGATGTCTTTGTCAAGATGCATTTCTTCACCATCTGTAGAGTTTTGGTCCTTCATTTCAGTAATGCTACTCAACTCACTATGTTCCAAGTCTTTGGAGTTTGTTTTGTTGGAAATGTGTTCCACTTCCTGTGTTGTGACCACAGGCAAGTCCACAGTCTCCTCTGTTGGTACTACAGAAGGTTTTGGACAGTGGCTTGACACTGATGTTGTGATGAGTAAGGACTCTTGCTGAAGAGGAACCGAGTCAGCCGAGGACTTGGGATGGTTTTCCTTTTCTCCATCATCTGTCTCCATAGATTCCATCGATGTGTCCTGACAGACAGACAGAAGAAAACAAGGATGTGATTTGCAATAAGATAAGCTGTGGTATGACAAACTTTTAACACCAATCATAAACAAAACATCACAAACATAATTAAAAATGTAGAGTTACAAAGAGAAATCTTTGTTTTGGGTGTTTCTGTTGATAATAATTTAGTTCATAATGATATCCAAACAGTATTTTTGTCAAGTCTTGATTTCTTCAGAAAATACTTCAAAAATACTAAGAGAAAGTTTTGAAATATTTTAGCGTAAACTATGGGTGACACAAACACACACACTGGAAAATTATCTTACATTCTATCTTCTGCGACTTCTGCATCTTAATATCATAAATAAAACAGGTGAAACTGCACATTAGTCAGTAATGTAAAAACATAAAGCTTAATTAAGGAAGATAATTAAGCTTACCAAAGCTGGCAGTGGTGATATACAGGGAGGCATTGGTTTGAACAATGCCATTATCTCCTCAACAGGTACTTCAGAGCTGCCCAAGTCCGTAGATGACTCTTCAGTTTTGTGTTCCTTGGACAATCGCTTGCTCTTTTTGGGAGTTCCCTCCTTGGCACTTGCTGACTGCAAACGTTCTTGATACTTGATGGCTTTCCGCCGAATAGGAGAAAGTTTTAATTGTGTGTAAGTGGCTTTTGTCTGCATGGGGTAACTGTGGGATCCATGGATCTTGCGGGAAACAAGAGGTGTGTCACTCGGATGAGAGTGCAGTCTGTTTTGTGGTGAGGAGGTCAGAACTTGCTTGGAACTTGACTCTGAAATAAGAGAATAAAAGAGAGGATTGCACACATGTAGAAGGGCAAAATGGTGGAAGAAATACAAACAAAGTTGAAAAACCATCGATACAACAGAGCTTAATGATGGCTCACCAGGTAAGTGCAACAGATTTGCAGTGTGCTGCTGCGGGAGTTCTACACATGACCACAAATTTTCTAGCAGCATCCGGACCTTTTCTGAAAAACGGAAAAAGTACAATTACAACAATCTGCTTTTAGGATTAATGCATGTGATGAGTTTGTCAATCAATAAGTGAAGCCATCTGCATACCTTTGTCAACTTTAGGCTCCTCCGGTACACTAGCTTGAGTTGATGTGCTCCTATATTCTGTTGAAAAATAATTCAGATAGTGTTTCAATTTATGTGAAATAATATATTTATTTAAGTTAAAAAAAGATGCTGCTGTTTTTGGAAAAAAACTGTTTGTAAATGAAGCTATTGCTTGTTTACCTTTATTCCTTTCTCTTTCCAGTTTCATCAATCTCATCTGCAAATGAATTGAAATTGTACAAAAAAGAAAAGTCAATTTAAGGTACTAAAGTAGTATTAAAAAATAATTGCACCAACTTTAACTATATACAGATAATTACTGTACCTGGAGATCATGAATATTTCTGTCTAGCAGGATCTTCTCTTTGGTCAGTTGGGATATTTGATGATTTTGTTTGCAAACTTCATCTGAAATAAGGACAAAAATACGTATGACTAAGAGATAACCAGATAACCATATAACAGACAGATTGAAGACATGCTTATGAATATAAAATAATTATTTATACGCAGTGAAATAACATTTTTTTTACCAACCTTCGAGAAGTCTCACTTTATTTTCAAGGTTATCCTTTCTGTTAATGAGAAAAACAACATGAAGCCGCACAATTTGTTTTAAACGACTTTCTCACAAACAAACCAGTCAAAAAGACACTGAGAGAGACACAGACATGACACTTAATAAGTACTAAGTCCAATTTAAGAAATCACATCTCTAAAGTGTAAGAACTTACATGCTTGTTGTCTTGGCGTTGTTCTCCTCTATCAATTTTTCGACTTGATCTGCTTGTGCCTGAGATTTCTTCAACGATGTCTGAGAAGGTAAAAATAAACAAAGATTACTTGATCAGATATTTGGATGCTCCTAAAAACAATGGTCCATTCATTGCCAGTTATTTGATTACAGCAAATTCAAATGAATCAAGTGTATTTGGAGAGCACCTTTTTTCCTTACCTGTGTTTCCAGCAGATTATTTTCTACCACTGTCTTTTCCCTCTTCAGCTGTGCATTTTCAAGTGTTTGTGTTTCCGTAAGTTCTAGGAGTTTGAAAGAACATTTATCAAAAAGTCAGGGACACATTAAAGTCTTTTTAAACAAATTATGCAACTCCTCACTGGTAAAAGTTACAGCATGTTAGTGCAAAGTACCTTTCACATCCTTCAGCTGGTCTTCAAGCTTCTTATTCCTGAGAGATATGTAAAATACTGGTTACCTTTTTACCACAAACACAATACCATTATAATATCTTTATCATAGTTATGACAATTATTTCTTACTCTGACAGTGTCTTGCTGTTTTCTTGCTTCAGTTTCTCCATCTCTTCAGACATCTGTCCATAGGCTTTCAAAGCACCCTATAAAATGTTAGGAAAATAGTTGGTAAAATGTATTCAGGTATGGTCAGATTTTGTGTTGTAGCACTGCTATTAAGAGACAACGTACTTTATCAGCATCAGGAGGAATATTTGAATTGTACAGAGAGAGGTCTACCTTCTTTTCTTCCAGTTCAGCTTGCACAGATTCATAATCGGCTGTCTTTTTCTCCAGAGTAACCAGTCTGAATTGGAGCTCTTCCAGCTGCTGTTGAAGCCTGATTGAGTCACTGTATAAAACATGTTGGAAACATGAATGAAAATCCAGCCAAAATCAAAGAATATCTGCGTGCATTTTATTCTTTATAAAGCAACTATGTCCTGACACGTGCATTTGCGCCAATACTGTTGGTTGATAATTGTTTTTTAAAGGATACATCTGTCATGTTTTAGCATAAAACAATCAATATACATTCATACTCACACCATTTGACAAGGCATCTACAATTATTGAGATCCTTTAAGTAAGTAGTATAGAGTCACACTTTTTCAAAAGCAAAAGTCAATTTCCTTTGTGAAACACTTTCTTAAAGATAGATTCAATCATTCAGAAAACACAAAAACAGATCAGAGTTTCTTCCTTCCATTGATTCCAATATGAAATTGTATGATGAGGATAGAAAAACACTTTCATATCTTTGGGTCTTTTGGAGCTGTCAAGGAATCAATAACAATCCTCTAACTGACAACTACCGTTAAATAACAACTGTTACAAAACAAACAGGTAGTTTACACCAGTCTGTGGAGTGCAATGTAATCTAACTAATACATTATATTGCCCTTATCGCACAATAGTATTGCTATCGATGTGTGACCATATTTTGTAAAAGAATTAAAAATCACACAGTTGACTTGACGGGATGAACACTAGTTTTAACCTTTGAACTGACACATAGACAACACATACGTTAAGAAACGTCGGAGAACAAATGAATAATTACACACAAACTATTAGTATTAAACCGAGCTATACTGTACCCGATAGCTGCCCCCGACGTCCGCCGTAAACTGACCAGCGGCGGTATTGCTAGTGTCCAACGTAATGTCACAGAAACACTAACTATGGTTTCTTTATGGTGACTCGCGTCACCATGGCAATTATTATTCATTAAAACTCACCCAGAAACCGTTATCTTCTGTTTCAGCGCCAGAAATGACGACACATATTCGTTCAGGCTCTGTGGGGAAGAAACAAAACAAAAACAAACAGGGGGGTTCATAATTACCAACACCTTCCCTTTAACTGACACAATAAAAACACATGGACTGCGTTACAACCGTCGGCGACTGCTCATATTTGGTGCACTAAGAGGAAACACAACTTCTAAACAGACTTTCTGTCATACAAACATGATGATCTGACCTGGTGCAAAACAGAGCACTTCTGACAGTCTCCAACCGTCGCGTCCGCGGCAATGGCTACCGTCCTGGACTGACTGTCTCCTGGCATCATGGTAAGACTGACTCCGACCCCCTCACAGACTGTGTTTTATATTAAACACACTGACCACCATGTCCCGGTGAAACTAATTCCAGACACGACCCAAAACAACTTCACATTTTCGCGTCTCCCACGTTGACCAAGGACCCAAGCTAGGACCCAACATGGGGACCGTCGTGAATGACCTAAAAATAAATATTTCTCTCTACGTTATAAGCACATTCAAATTACAGTGTGCATTCTATTGAGTATAAGTAAGGCAGGGGTTCACGTGTATATTTAATTTTTTTGTCCATCGAAATATGATGTTGTCGTTCATTCGGATTTTTCTTCAGGCAGTTCATTATAGCCTACGGGGGCGTTACTGATACAAAGCGTGCGCGGCCATCACCATGTATACAGAGAACCGACGAATAGGATTGTGGGTAGTGGAACCGTCTTCTTTAGAGTGTGTACTCACTATAATGTTTACGGTTTGAGATAATAGATAGTACCCGTCAAAGTATACCTCAGCGAGTTGAGTATGCTCACTTATGAATGAATGTAGGTAGTATTTTTTTCATTACATTTTCTTTCCTCTTATCAGTCCCTGGTGGTCTAGTGGTTAGGATTCGGCGCTCCTCACCGCCGCGGCCCGGGTTCGCTAATTCCGGTAGGGAACTTGCTTTTTGTGGCTCGAATATCTGGTTACCACAGTGACCCTGAGTAATATCCATATTACCAGCTCGTTCTTATAGCCAGGCCTGTCTTACACCGTTGTATAAGTCATTGGTCATGTGTATTTTAGTTTTTTCCGTTACCCCCACCCCTTTTTTGAATACATTTCTAAAGTGCTACTGTTTCTGAAGCATTTAAAAATAAATTGGGCGTCTTAAAGTCCTTTAAACATATAGTAAGAATGAATTACCTGACTCCTTATGATTGTATTTTAGGTAATCCCTCCTCTCACACATTCAGTGGCATATCTACTGATTGATCATTGCAATGATCACTCCCACATGAATTGTAAATCATATGCATAATAAAAATAATTAAAAGAGTATAGGGAAGTTAATAGATAATTAGAATAGTTAAAATAATAATTATAATAAGTTCTCTTTCAAATTAAACATCTTAAGATATGAGTGGAAAGTAGGCTATTGTTCTTGCAACTGCATTTAGAACAGTAGCATTCACAGTCGGCCTTTAATGGACTTATTATATTGTTCAAAGTTGAAAAACGTAGAAGCATATTAACAAGTTATGGCATAACATACATTATTTGGCTTCAATGTATGCATTGTGTGTTTAATGTATATACTGTGTATAGTCAGCAGAGGGTACTGTTGTACAGATAACAGTGTCCCTAATCTCTCTCTCTCTCTCTCTCTCTAACACACACACACACACATATTGACACCAGAGGGAATTATAATCTCTGAATTTTAAAAGCTTTTAGAATAAATAAATAGTGACTTCTTTTGAGAAAAGTTTGTTTTGCTTCAAAATACTGCTTACTGTGGCAGCAGGTCGTCTCCAACCTGGTGATTCCAATAGCCGAGAGGAAGCAACTAAAGGTGGCGGGGGATTGCTGTCAATGCATCCTGATGGAAAGATAATAACCCTGTAACTTCAGATGAACCTTCTTAGTGTAGCCTCAAGGCTAAAGAGCCCACTCTCTCCAAACAGATGCAGTCAGAGATAGCATAGTTTCTTTATAGTGGAAAGGGGAGTGTGGGCCATGTTTCTCTCTTCCTGTCTCTCTCTGACAGATAATCTCTTCTGTTACCTGACATGGGTTAGGTAACACCTTGGATGTTGCCAGATTTATCTCGATTTGCATCTACAGGAAGCCTTTGTCGGATCACTATCTTTGTATAAAGAAAAGTGCTTCATCCTCTTAATCCCTTTCTTCTTGTGTGGTTGGATTCTTCTCCTCTTTTGTTGTCTTTGTTAAACTGCAGATTATACAGAGTGAGGTGGAAATACATTTGCTGTCAAATAAAAGTCTGAGTCAATAAAGCAATACCAATCATTTCATTTTGATAGCCTAATTACCGAAACAAGATGTGAATGTTTGAAACCTGCTGACCAGTCTATCACAGATGTGCAAATGTGTCACTGTGAGTTAGCCACGTTGACACATTTATAATTCATAATATATGACATTAACACAGGTTTTCATACCATAGTGATGACAGTAAAACAGTACAGTACGAATCGTACTGTACGATACTTCCTTATTAACATTATCACATTAATATAGGTGGTTTTCGGCCCCCGCCCATGCTCAGCACAATTAATTAATGTGTCTCTAGTGAAAGCCATTGATTGTCTTCAGGGTTCAGTTAACACAATGAAAACATTTCGAACAGAGTTTTGACTTGACAGAGGTGCAAAGTAGCTGATGACAGTACATTCCAGAAGCATGGGGCTGGTTAGAGACTCTCTGTGTGTGTGTGTGTGTGTGTGCGCGCGGTGTTGCTTTAGTCAGCAAACTGTCATTAATTAATAAAAGAGTTTTGCAGACATTTGCTGCTGAAAAAAACCCAAACACCGCTATCCTGGCGGCCTACATTCATTCAGTAATACAGTACACACACACACACACACACACAGTAACACAGTGCCACAGCTGACCAACTATAAATGAACTTCAGAGATGTAGTTGACACGGAGGAAAACCCCTTTTTCTCTCTATACCCACCTCTCCCTCTGGCCCACTCCCTCTTTTTCTCACAGCATTTTTCTATGACAGCACCAAATACATAGATGCCTTCCCTCCTCCCTTTTTTCTCTACTCTCTTCCTCTCTGTCTTCTCACACTCTTCTTCTCTCCTCCCTCACTCTCTCTCAGAGGGCCTTCGAGCTGTGCCCCGGGGATTATGACAAAGGGGATTTTGTTTTGGGCATCTGTGTCTCCTTGACTTGTTGAGAAATGACTAAAGAGTAAAGCCCAGACACAATATGTCATAGGTGTTGAAATGGCTAATACCACATTGGCTTTACTGTTAGCCGGGCCGCTGGCATGTGAGCTGCGCTCCATTGCAGACTGAAGACTATGAGCTTAGAATTAAGCTGCAGGGTCCGTTCTTACACACCAAGTCCTATTTCTTTTTGTTTCATCTTGTTACAATATGACACATAGTCTGTAATGTGGTGGTGCTGCAACAACCACACACTGAAATGGTTTCGAAAAGAAGATAGCTCTATCTAGGAAACTAAACTAAACAGAAATATTTTTATATTAAAGTGAAAGGTGTCACTGGTAGACAAACCCAGGCTCTGCAGTTCACCTCCGTTTGATGTAGCGTTTTAGCATTTTCACTGTATTGTTTAGGAATAACTACTGGAGCGTTTAGCTGGTAAAGAGCGGAGCAAGATATTTGTCTCAGAAGTTGGTGAAGACCAAAAACAGAGCTAAATGGTTGGTTAACATTGGACTTATATTCACAAGGTGTCTGTGGGCTCTTAAAAGTCTAAAATCCAATCATCAGAATTTTGGGCCTTAAAATGTCTTCAATATAATTTTGACAGCTCTTAAAAATGTATTGGATTAATTAAGTTCTATAAGTACTTCCATTATGTTACATTTTTCAGTCTAGCTTTTAAATGTGTATTGATCATGCTGTAACAACTACAAAATACAGATTTTTCTTCATATCTTTAGATTTTTTTTGCCAGTATAGACGTATAATAGGTCTTAAATTACGTTCATAATAGTCTTAAAAAGGTCTTTAAAAAGTCTTGAATTTAACTTAACAACTAACTTAACTTAAAACCTGCAGAAACCCTTTCATCTGGCAGAAATCTGACTTCAAATGGTTGTCCATGACTGCTGGATTTGTAAATATACAACAGTTACATTGCATGTTTGCTATATCAATAGAGTTCACCTTGAAAGACAAATCCTTTGTCAGGACATGATGGCAATATCGAGGCCAAAAACAGTATGACTTAAGAGATCAGTTTCCCTTCCTGATTTTATTTCCCCTTGGAATACTTCATGGACAATAATGCGTTTGAAGTTTCACACCACCTTGGTAAGATCAAATTCATTCAAACTGACAGCTGAGAAGAATTAAATCAGGACTCATGCCACAGCTGAGATGCTGACACACATTTGTTTATTGGTATTTCATTTACACTGTAAAAATCACATTGAAATAGCATCGGCCATCATCTGTCATTGCTTTTGAACCATAACCAATATATTTTTGTGCCATATCAATAAATGCAATGCATGACTTGGATAATGTTGGACAATGTAATGGAAAGAAACGGTGTCTCTTCAAACAGCGTGCTCATACCTTTGTTTCTACTCAACAGCTGCTGTAAATGATCATCAATCATTGTTGACATTGCGGGACTGGGCTTTTGACATCACAGATTCATTTTCTTTAAAAAGAAGATAAATGTTTTGAATAAAAAAGGTGCATTTTGTCAGCATGAAATCTTATGAAACATAATACAAAATATAAAGGTAATGGGCTTAGAGTAGAGTAATAAAAGGACACATTTATACTGCTTATTAATACAGTCTTCCAGCAACGCTGTATTGTAAAGCCAATAAATAAAACAAACAATACTGTACATGGGTCACACAATTCATGTGTTCTTTCCTGAAACTTGAGGATTTCACATTGATTTGGTGACAGAAGACAATGTTGTAGCACCACTGAGTATGAAAGTCAGTTCACACAGTCGCAACCCATCTCAGAATAGTTCTTTCATTAAATGATGCATTTTGTTTTTTCTTTACTTTTTTATTTTACACAACAGCACAAAGCTTCCTGCTATTGTCCAGCTATCCAGCCTGTTTTTTATCAAGCCTTAAAGTAAAATGATGTTTTCTTGTTTCTTTGAAACATCCCTTTTCATTATCAGACCCCAGATGTCCAATTGATCAAGAATTGCAGTGCAGACCGGGCTGTATCACATGTTGTTGCGTGGCAGTGCCTGAAGGCTCGTCAACCGTTTTTCTCTGTAGGCCTGCCATCATTGGCCTTTGGTTGCCTGGAGGATGTTGGGTGTCCTGGGTGCAGATCTGTTCAATTACATACAGTACATAAACAAAGCTGGGATTTTTCAGGTTTTCAGTTTCTTATGGACTATTCGCTTTAATCATGATTCCCATTTAGCTAGTTCCTCCTCATAATTCTCTCCTTTTTTTGTACTGTCCTGATCACATTCCTGTATTGTGCTGTCAGCATCAAGTTCTAGTATCCAGATGTCCGGCATCGCAGGGAGGAGAAAGGGCACTGCAACTCTTTTGCACTTCCATTGAAATGTCATTTGTTTTTCAGTGCTCGCCACACGCTTAAAGCAAAAAGGCACTGTCTTTTCAAGCATGGACGTCAAATATAGTCTTTTGTCTATCTAACTACCTATCTGCCTGTGTTACAGACAGAGTCACTCCGTATGATTATAGGTTTGAATTTGAACAGGACTGGCAGCACTGCTTGCCATAGAACTTGTGGTTGCAGACTCCATGCTGGGGCACCAGGTAACACCAGTTGAAGTAATCCCTACATGCAAGGTCTGTGGAAAGAAAAGGGAAAAAAAATGAATTTATGAAACCATGTCTCTATTCTAACAAGCTATTTTAAGACAACTCTCTTTAGACTATAGATTACAAGAAGCACAGTTTTAGTTTGATGTCAGAGCTTCAGTACCTTTCTTATCAGGTTGTGGGCAGAAGTTGGTGTTGCATGCCTGGGACATTAAGGGTTTAAGATGGAAGGCACAGCCAGGAGAGGGCTTCCCCTGGACCAGACATTGGACTGTCCTGGCCTGCACTCCTCCTCCACATGTCACTGTGCACTGTAGAACACAAAGAAACAAAACCTAAATGATGGACACGGTAAATGTCATGAAACATCTATAAAGCACTTCAGCACCAACACCCCTCAATTGCATGGTTCAGCTATGTAATCCTGCTCTAAGTTAACATGCCTGAGACCAAGGAGACGTGTGCCATTCTGCTGGAGGAGGAGGTTGAGGGAGGGGTTGAGGTGGATAGGTGTGATGATATGTGCTCCATCGGTAGACTGCTGGGGTAGTGTGGACGGGGCACTCAGCCAGGTTGCACGGCCTCTGGAGATCAACTGTGGGCTTACTGACATGGTGGCACTTCTTGGCAGCAAGCTCTCTGTATTTTCCTGCAGTGTCCTGTATTATGGACACCAAAAATAAGTAAGAAGACAAGATGCCACTGTATAACATGACAATAAAATATACACAAACACTGTATTTCATATACACAACAGTAAAGAAAATAATTGAAACCCTAAATTACAAGAAAGGGAATTTAATAGCAGAGGACTGTCACAATTAATGATTAAAGTTACTAATTTAATAATTAGGAATCGACATTTTGCCATATTTGAATAAACGTAGGACATATAATACGCACCTTCTCTGCACACTTGATGAAGCGCGCCTGATAACCACGACCACACGTTGCTGAACACTGGAAGATCAAAGAAGGACAGAAACAGAGAAGAAATTATGAAAGAACTTATTTACATGAGGTAAAAAAGAGAAACGTTCACACACTGCATTACTACTGCTGTATTTATCTTAATTTCATATATATATATTTTTAATTGCTTATGAAATACCTCTTGCCATGTGGAGACAAACCACTGGACTTTGCGTTGTTTCTGGCAGCGTTTGATGAAGCAGGATTCTTGACCGGCGGGTTTCGGCAGGCCCACACACAAACTGTCTGGCAGTGTGTGTGTCTGGGCACCTGGGTTGGTGCTCGTACACAGAACTGTCCTCTTCTTCAATCCGTTGCCACACTTACGAGAACACTGCCAAAAAAACCCAGAAACATGCTAATGATGATATTTTATCCTGCTTAAATGCTTGTTTTTCAAATTGGGGTTTGACAAAGGTTCCATGAGTGGGTTGTTGGGGGTCCCGAGAAAAAGGATGAATAGAATATTTTAACTTTTAGCACATTTGGTATTGGTATTGTTAATCAATATTGGCTACATGGGTTACATTTTTCTCGTACATTTGTAATATATCCATCATTTTCTGCTAAAAGTAAGGATTTGTAAATGAATTCAAGATTTGACATAATGCATTTATTAAATGACTTTAGCATGGGAAAAAGTCTCACAGGCCAACTATGCACAGTAAGCATTTCAGCATGGCCACCACGTATTCACATTCTCCACACAGTGACTTATTGTGCTTTACTTCCTTAATAATTCCTTTGAGGTAGTCCAACAATTCCCCTAATATTCACTCTGATCCTATGCATACATCTTAATAAATCAAAACCTTGAAAGTGGTCCACTACGTCCAAGAAAACGGGGCTGTGACGCACTGCACTGAGTACCAGAGAGGAAGTAAACTGGACACCATTTGTGGCAGGTAGTTATGGATATTTGGGGGTAAAATGGCAGTTAAAAAGGTTTTACAGTGAGACAAGTCACCTCGCACAATGTATAGGAATTGGACAGAGAACAGAACATAGGGGGTCTCAGTGGGCACATTCAGTTTAAAGCCACTGAGATCACTGTCATAAAATGTGGTGAAGCCATCAATGCTAGGGTTCACTTAACAACAGTGTGTAAAGCTCTTCAGGCTGAATGGTGGGTAGTGTGCAACTTTTAAGTGTTTTTTTTTGTCCTGCTGTGGATCTACTATGCATGTCCTGAATGACATCAGTGTAAGCACATTGAGCACTTTAAATATTCACTCAATGGCAATGGCAGATCACTTTCACACGTTCTTACCTGTGTCCAAGGCCCAGTGGTCCAGACTGGTGGACAGCTGTGTGTGTTGCAGGCTTGCCTCCTGGTCGGGGTGGGCTGGGCACAGTGAGAGTCAGCCAGAGCGTCCACGTTGGTCTGGCTGGTTCTCTGGACACACTGGACCTGCCGCGTCTGCTCCCCTCCTCCACAGCTCTGGCTGCACACCCCCCACTCTCCTACAGACCAGCTGGGAAAACACAACACAAGCCCGCTGAGTCAACGTGCAAAAGCTCCTCAATCACTTATTCAGACAGGTCTTCGGGAATTCACGAATGACATGATAACTGTGCAGTTAGACTCCCTGTGTTGTGTCTAAGCCGCTTATCCAGTGCCCTCTGCAGCTTAATTCATCTTCGAATGCTTAAAAATATAAGTGACTGTAAAACTCAAAACTTACTGTATGTGTAAAAAAAGCTTAAATAACATTATCTCATTTGAAATAAGCACCTTTGTTCATTATAAGAAAGCAAAACACCTTTGGCAGACAATACCAACAATGTAAGTAACAAGTAATAACTATAAAGATTAAAATAGGAGTATTTGTCTCTGTGACTAAACACCAGTCTTCATCGATCCCTGACCTGTAGCAGGCCTAACTCTTAAGGGTGTTAAGACATTTGTTCATGGCTGACTGGCTTCAAAGCAAGTCAGAACAGCCGAAATACCAGGCTTTTAAACTGTAACTTAAACCTCAACTGCACAGTTTTAAACCCCCTCCTTGCCTAAACTCAAGCCCTCATCACCACTAAAACTAAACATCATATTTCTTTCATAATTACCTCAAATACTGAACACTCCTAACAAATACATATTTTGGCAATTACAAAAACCTGTCTTTTTCGAGATACATAATAAGCATCCTTCATATTAATGCATCTTAGACACACAATCCTCTGACCCTGGTGACAAGGGCTCAGTTTAGGACAGTACAGTTTATGTTATTTTTAGTGCATTTAGTGCATACACTACAGCCCCTGCCAAACCCCCGAGCCTCCTATCCTCCGTTCTCCAAGCTTCTTTGCATCTATCCCAAGTGACCCAAAGCACAAGGTGCAAGCAGCTCAATCCCTCATCACACACTCTGTCATCCTCTCCCTAACTTCACCCCAGTGTACCCACCCAGCCTCGTAAGATCTACCCCAAACAACCCAAAAACATTGCTGTCAGCACATGGAGTTGTATATAATAACAGTCTAAACTTTATTTGCAATAATCTGGTGCATCACTTGCTTGGAATGTTGTATAAGGACGATGAGACGAGTATAGCTCTAAAGGGCATTATGCATGCACTATCGAAACTAAATAAATACAGATGGAGAAATTCCATCTGGTCGTATGTTATGACTAGTCATGAGGAAGATACACACTAGCATCATCAAAGGATGATTTGAGGGAGTATGAGCAGAAGGTAGAGATGAAGATGTTTATTCCAAACATTTAACACATGATCAACACATACATGTAACATTCTTTATATGCTGACACAATGTTTACTGGCCCTCCGCGCAGAAATAGGATCTAACCCTCATGGTGTCATATAATACATAGATAAATGCAAGCAGAAGACCAACTACACTATTCTTTAGAGCCACATCGGTCTTTCAAGACTTGAAATGTACTTGGACACATTACACTTGCACCGTTGCCTTCAATAAAGAGGAAATTCAATACATTCTGTATTTCTTAATTTGTATTACTCCATAAATATTTCAATACTCAAACTGTACGGGGTTTTTATGATGTAACACACAAGCTTGTAGTGGTTAGGTGATATGGTGGATTTACTATGTAAGAACATTTACCAACTTGCTACAGCATGACATCACACTGACAAACTTAATTAAATCTTATTTAGGCTTTCTTACATCACTTGGTTACATCTCAGATATCAGCTTCTGCACAGAAAAGTAAAATAGAGTCATCTGACCTGCAGTGGGAAAAAAAGTTTTAATGTGGTGCGTGTAGAAGGTGGAATATCAGAGCTTTAATTAATACTGAAGCCACAAATGTATCACCTTAGTGACCCCACTGGCATGAGCATAATATACTGATTAATGCCATATCAATTTACAGACCACCTTGTGATCCCTGCCTTGACTTTTATTTGTAGCTAAGTGTTATTGGAGGATGAGTAAGCGTCACAGTCTCTGGACAGAAGCACAGGGGATCAGATATCCTGTGGACGAGTGTCAGATAGCCTCTGTGGTCTAAATGACACTGTCTGGATGCTCACCAGGGGCATTAAATAACCTCTGACCAGTGTTTATGGCTGTGCCACTGTGTGTGTGTTTGAGCTTTCAAGTGTCAGTGTGTGTGGGTGTTTCTCTGCTTATATCAGTGTATGTCCACACTGTGAGACACAATTATATCATGCTCTAAATGTGAGCGGGCATCGAGACCCTTTTCCATGATGTAATGCCTGTTCAGTCCAACTTAGTGGATGCAGACACAGCAAAATGAAATAACTGCAGGGCCTCAGAACAGTATGACCTGCAGGGATGGACTGATGACCACAGCCAGCTTGTTTTGGTGGGTGTTTCACATGTTTTGGTCTCAGCTCACAGTTTATGTGAGTGGAGGGCTCACAAACACTATGAAAAGTTGTCCAGATGCTCCGTGAAAAAATAGAAACATATGTGCATATACCAGGACAATGTGTTTTAGTTAAGTGCAACAAAAATGTTTTGTACTTGACCAGGCATTGGACAAAAGAAATGAAAGCAGTTCTGGTTGATTAAACCATGAACTCTAATATAGTAGGATACACAAATTAATGTGATCAGAAATCCAAACAATACAACAAAAATGTAACTCTATTTTATTTATGCATGTTCTGAATGTTGTAATCTAAGATTGGTATACACCGCTCCACAATGCTGCAAATAGCTGTAATCAGAGTGTAAAAGCATGGAAATGCCGCCTGGAGGTTTAGGTTGCAACCAATAGGAAAAAGGTAGATGGCCTAATATAATTACTATGAGAATTTTCTGCTGTAACAAGAGAACGCTGTTGCTTTTAATGTTTGTATTTAAATTTGAAGTTTCAATATATGCTGATGGGTCTTCTTGAACCCATTAAGAATTCACTAAGTTATGTTAACTGTCCTAATGCCATAAAATGTTCCTCTGAGAAAATAATGTACATTATGATGATGTCAACAACTATTACTTTATAAGATACATACATTCAACACTCACTGATCATGTGCAATAAATAATAAAATAAAACCACTAGCTGACGTTGTAATGTGGCACCATTACTATAAGTACTAAGTTTCTTCATATCATAAACATTTTCAGCTGATACAGAAGTGGATTGCAGTTGGATTTTGGATTTTGGATTATTTGATAACCCCTAAACATACTTAAACACTCAAAATCTGTCACATACTACCAAACATGTATAGCAAAGTAGCTCTGTAAGAGTCTTGTATATTATACTATATAATACTTCCCATGCTTATGCGCACACACACTTACAGGAACATGCATGCACACACACACAGGTACATTTAAGCAGCCTCAGCTGTAGATAATGAAGGAGATAGTCCCATGAGATGAGTGTAAACAGTCATGAGATTACTTAACAGTCAATATCACTGCTTCCTCAACTCAGTGTAAACACACAAATCCATTAGCGAGTTAATGCTGATAGGGCTGGTGTGTGGCGGAATGTCTGAGAAAGAAAGTAAGAGAGAGAGAAAGGAAAGACTGCAACGTGGACAGAAACATCAGTGAGGAGCATCAACATCTAAGATAACCACAGGGAAGCAGCAGAGTGGCTTTGTTGGTGTACGTGAGATAGATGGAATGCCAATTTAAAATTATTTATAAATGACTTTTAAAAGACACAGACAGTGAGACAGACAAACAAGCAGACAGAGAGTGTTTGCCATTAAGCACCACAAATCCCTGCTGAGAGATTGGAAGCGCTGCCACCCAAGCACAACAAGGTTTGAATGACTGCTATCCTTGGCTGGCTGCTTGGTGGTGTGTGTGTCTGTGTGTGTGTGTCTGTGTACGCGCGGTAGGACGGGGTTGGACAGGTCAGAGAGAAAAAAGACGTCACATCAAAGAGTCCAGGCCGTTAGGGTTATGTTTACAGCTGAGCCTGAAGCCAGCCAGCTAATGGACACTGCAATGGAGGTCTTACAAACCAAGCCTGCTGTTTGTGTGTGTGTGTGTATACGGACGAGAGGTGGGACGGAAAGGGACAGAAAGATCTCAGAACTCAGAACTAACCTCAAATGCTTCACCTATGCATCTGTGAGTGACAGAGAGACAGAGAGAAACAGAGGCAGACAGACGGACAGAGGCCAAGCTCAAGCAAAAATTGATGCAACGCTTTATGTGTGTGTGTGTGTGTGTGTGTGTGTGTGTGTGTGTGTGTAAGGGTTGAGGGGAAACTGAAGCATCTGTTGTACCTGCAGTATCTTGAGGGATGAGTAAGAAGTTAAGTACTAACTGAAAGCTGGAATTGTAACAGTCACTGTCTCTGACTACCAGATAATGGCAGTGTGATCACACACTGTAAAGGCACAGATAAAGCTTGAATTGTTTGGCTCGTCAGGAGAAACCCACAAACACTGTGAGCAAGAGTTTCCTCATTTCCTCCTTGATGTACACCCTCTTTTCTCCTAAAATGCTCGGTTTCCTGCCTGTACTACGATCCATTAACCAATAGGTACATAATTACATTTTCCACTGCACAGAAACATAATACACCGTATACATTTGGTTCACGTACATGTAATATGTCCCTTTGAGTTATCTGATTTTGTCAAACATAGTGGAGACCATTCAGTGAGGCTTGTTTCAATATACAACTGACATTTTTTGACTGCATTAAATTAGTTATTAGCTCTATATGACATATTTTATGGTGAAACATTAGCTATACATTTTTACCAGTGTTAAATTACTCCTACAGGAGGTCACACAGTTTATTGAACTCACTGTATTCCAGTGGTTCTTAAACATTTTTGTCATGACCCCTTTGAAGGCTGAAACAATTTCATACTCCAAATCGACCAATAAACTGACCGCAGATTTATCAACCTGTAACAATATTATAGCCAAGTTAAATTTGATTTTAATATCAAGAACACTTCACACACTCTTTTCACGTATGTTTCTTATTGGTTTCTGTTGAGTAAGTGATTGCAAGTTAACCTCTGTTTAGACTGCC